TTCTAGCCTCAGTGTGCAGCAGTTTATTAATTGATCATGACTTCTAAACAACTGAAAACAAGCCTGCTGTTAAACTATAAGCAGAATTCTTAAGTCAGCCCTTGGCTTTCTGAGAACAAAGGAAAAGGACAAGAGGGTGTTGGTTGATGAGAAGCTCAACATGAGCTGTCAGTGTGTGCTTGCAGGCCAGAAAGCCAACTGTATCCTGGGCTGTGTCAAAATAAGCATGGCCAGCAGGTCAAGGGAGGTGATTCTGCCTCTCTACTCTGCTCTCTTGAGACCCCACCTGGAGTACTGTGTACAGGTCTGGAGCCCCCAGCACAGGAAGGACATGAACCTGTTGGAGAAATTCCAGAGGAGGGCCACAAAGATAACCAGAGGGCTGGAGCTCGTCTCTTATGAGGACAGGCTGAGAGAGTTGGGGCTGTTCAGCCTGAAGAAGAGAAGGCTCTGGAGAGACCTTATAGCGGCCTTGCAGAGGCTGGAGGGGGCCTGCAGGAAAGCTGGGGAGGGACTTTTTACAAAGGCATGTAGTGATAGGACAAGGGGAAATGGCTATAAAGTGGAAGAGGGTGGATTTAGATTAGACATTAGGAAGAAATTCTTTAGTGTGAGGGTGGTGAGACACTGGAACAGGTTGCCCAGAGGAGATGTGGATGCCCTCTTCCTGTGTTCAAGGCCAGGTTGGATGGGACCTTGAGCAACCTGGTCTAGTGGGAGGTGTTGCTGCCCATGACAGGCAGCTTGGAACTAGATGATCTTTAAGGTCCCTCCCAAACCAAACCACACTGTGATAATTTAGCTTGTTGAATGATGAACCTGTCACAAAGGCTAGATTTGGATTTGATTCACAGCTGTTCCGTCTGTCTTGCAAAAACTATTCATTAGTTCACTGATGATACTATGATCATTATTTATTTATTTATTTATTTTGCAAATTACGCAAGTATTTCTCTAGGTAGGGTTTGAATAAGTAAATCTAATGTGGTATTTTAGCAACTAGACTTTTGCTGTTACCAAGTCAAGGGCACCGTCTCTTCCATTTTACATTCCATTTCAGCCAGACATTTTCATGCTGGGTGCAATAAACTGAGAACAAAAGGCTTAATATTACTTTTCATGGAGGTGGATCATAGAATCATAGAATTATGGGTAGCAAGGGACCTCAAGGATCATCTGGTCCAACCTTTCTAGGAAATAGTGTAGTTTATATGAGATGGCTCAGCACCCTGTCAGGCTGAGACTTAAAACTGTCCAATGTGGGGGAATCCACCACTTCCCTTGGGAAACTACTCCAATGTTTGATTGTCCTCATGTTGAAAAATTTACCTTTTGTTTCCAATCAGATTCTCCCCAGGAGAAACTTGTGCCCATTACCCCTTGTCTTTTCCATGTGACTCATTGTAAAATAGGAATCTCCATCTTCTTGGTAGCCACCGTTTAGTTACTGGAACATGGTAATGAAGTCTCCCTGAATCCTTCTTTTCTCAAAGCTGAACAAACCCAGTTTTCTCAGCCTCTTCTCATATGGCAGGTCTTCCAGTCCTTTGATCATCCTTGTGCCCCTTCTCTGGGCCCTCTTCACCCTGGTTGATGTGGAGTAATCAGAAAGTGACCCAAATCTCAAACGAAGGCGGCAAGCAAAAAAAACACAGTTTAATGAGAAATGTAGGAATTTTCATAGTTTCATGTTACTTGATCTGAAAGATTACAATGCTTTTATATTTATAATTTCTCCTATCAAATCTTCTGTAAACAATGATGCAGATAGGTTCTGTACTACTGAGAAGAGTCTGGCTGCCTCTTCTTTATTCCCTGAATCAGGTATTTATAAACATTGATGAGATCCCCCTCAGTCTTCTCTTCTCCAGGCTGAATAGTCACAGCTCTCTCAGCCTCTTCTCCTATGAAAGATGCTCCAGGCAATTAATCATCCTTTGGCCCTACTCTGGGTTTAATTCAGTAAATCCATATAATTCTTGTACTGTGGAGCCTACTGTCAAGGCTCTTCCAGTGCAGGCCAGGAACCCTTGATGAACTCCATGAGGTTCCTCTCTGTCTAGTCAAGGTGAGGCACATCCACACCTTGGTGGTGTATCAGCCACCCTTCCCAGTTTTATACCAGCAGCAAACTTGTGGAGGGTGTACTCTGCCCTGTCGTCCAGGCCAATAGTGAGGATGTTAAAGAGGACTGTGCTGACCCCTGATGTACACCAATAGTGACTTTCCTCCAGCTGGACTTTGTATGGCTGATCATAACCCTGTGGTCCCAGTTGTTCAGCCAGCTTTCAATCCACCACACCTGCCATTTATCTAGCCCATAGTTTGCTGATTTGTCTATCAGGAAGTTATGGGAGACTGTCAAAGCTCTTACTAAAGTTAGAAAACTCACACCCACTGTTCTTCCCCCATCTGTGAACCAACTCACCTCATTGTAGAAAGCTATAGGGTTGTTGAAGCAATATATAGCACCCTTATTTCCAGAATATAAACAGATTTTGTTATTTTTAGTGTCATTAGTGTTATGATATTAATTTTTCAATGTGCGGTTTCTGTCTGAAGAGAAAATTCTAACAACCCCTTTATGAACACTGTATGAATTACTGTAAAATTGTGAAAAGACTGCTCCCTGTAATAAATTTTTTAATGCTTTGGAAAGAAGAAAACACAGGGGAACACTTGTTGCAGACCAAGCTCCACACTCAAAAGGTTCTTTAGAATATTCTTCTCTTTCAGAGCTGAAGTAACTCAGAGGTTTCACTTAGATAATTCCCCTTTCCCAGTCTCCAATTTAAATAATAAGAAGTCTGACATCATGTTGACAAATAAGGTCACACATTTTCCTCAGAACTGAAAAAACTTCACCTATCCTGCAAAAATGTCTTCAGAATATCTGAGTATGAAGTGAAACATGTTGCAGTGTTTTACAAAGAAAATTACTTGTAATCTGGTCTGATTGAGAACACTTTTTCTGTTGTTTGCATTGCTGTTAATTTAATAACTAAGAAAACTCCATAATTTTTAATATTAAGGAAATCACTATTATTTTGGTCTCACTGTGTGCATAAACTGGGTATTTCCATGACCAAAGTGATACAAAAATGCATTAAAAGGCTCTTACAGAGGTGCAAAGTTATTTTTATTTGAATGTATGTCATGTTTCTTGAAATGCTGCTTTTAGTATCTTTGTAATAGAATCTGGCTCAGCAGGAGAGAAACAGTTACTCTATAGCCCATCTTCAGTTGTTTTTATATAGCTTTTCTCCTGTTTCCTTATTAATTCCAACAGTGTCTTATGACATGTATCTCTGTGTTGCTGCATCATCATTCTGGTATTGCTAGTTGTTACCAAGTGTTCAGTAAAAATATGCAAAGTCTCATCTTCAGATGATTGTGAATGTATGTCTGAGAGCAGAACTGAAGCAGTATTGCTAATACCACAAGCACAGGTAGAAATACAGCATCACTGCTTCGGTACTAGACTTCAGGAATGAGGGCCTTCTTCATTCTGGTTATCCCAAGTCCTGCTCCCATTCAGTCCAGGACTCCTGTTGGGCAGTCTCTTCACAGAATTACTTGTTTTTCATACATGACTCAGTACATCTTCTGTTTCTTTAGCTCCCATTTGATACTCCCACAGTGCCTGTGCTTGTGGGTAGGGCATAAAACCGCTTCTTAGGAATGCAGTTTAAGCTGCAAACAATCCCCTGCATTTCCCAACTGTTGATGACACCATTCATTGTTGATGATACCATTCATCTGTACTTCCAGGAGAAACACGGAAGCTCTAGTATAGGTGGGCAGCCACATCCTTTGCTGTTTTAAGTACTATTCATGGGACCTTCTTAGTTGTCCATTGATCTTAAGAGTTTCCCTTGCTGCTAGCCCAGGGGAAGGTGAACTGCTTCGGCAACAATAGGAAATAGTGTTGCTGGAGATGCTTTGTAGTGATGCTCAGAGATAATGCTACAGCTCAAGACTGAGTTTGAGGTTGTGTTGAGTACAGTTCAGGGAGACTTTTTTCATGCTGCACCAAGGCAGAAAGTGACAAAGATACTCAGATTAACCGCAGATTTTTAGAACTTCACCCAGGGCTACATCCAGGCACATTGGTTGTATGCTGTGAACAAGATTCTGTGTTAGCCTTTCACTGATAAATAGTGGGCTTCAGTCTCCATTGCTGTTTCATCTAAAGGCTTTTCTTGGTACTAACCTCACTTAGAAAAGATGTTTTCTACTTGCTGGATTGTTATTTTGACTAGTAAGTACTCTATTGTGTGTGTCTCCAAAAGGCTGATTTCTGTAGCTTATATGTGGTTTAGAACCACAACTTCAACTGGGTAGAAAATAAACTGTTTTTTAAAGTATCAAAACATTGCTCTTCACAAAAGGGCAGTCTCCCTACACTTTGTGGAATTATTGCTCTAAACTGTCTTAACACCTGACTATGGCTAGGTTAAGTACAGTACATGGCTTTCTGGAACACCCATGAGCCCATGAGTGCAGCAAGTACTAGTGGAGGCAGGCTGGGCAGATGAGGTGAGCAGAGTCCTGCAGTAGGACCATGGGAGCTGTCTCCAAGAGTGGTCACAGGCAGCTTAGTCTTGTCTTCTGTGCCACCTTCTTCCTCTAAAACAGAGGCAATAATTTGTATGCAATGTGTTTGGAGATTTTCTCATGACAATTCCTGTGCAAGAGCGAGATAATTTTTCTCATGTTTAGGTGGATTAAATTTACTTTGGTTCAGTCAACACAGCTGTAAAGCTTTAACTGAAAAGTTGGATCCAAGTCTTCACTGTAGTTCTGTGCAAGTGATTAAGAAATTTCTATTTTGGGAGAGATTCCTGAGATGAAACTAGGGTTTGGATTGCGAGACAAAAGGACAAGACCCTCCTGTAGTGTCAGAAGCCTAGGAGTAACTGAAAAGAGGAAGAGGTTGGTTTGGGGCGAAATACTGTTTTAATTCAGGGTTTGATTTTTTACAATCTTTATTTTATTAGGATTATCAGGGGATTTCTTGCGTTCTGGACGATACTCTGCTCATACCATCAATGGTGCCTGGTCTCCCTGGTCTCCATGGTCACAGTGCAGCCGTGACTGCAGCAGAGGCATACGGAACCGCAAGCGGGTCTGCAGCAACCCTGAGCCCAAGTACGGCGGGCTCCCCTGCCTCGGCCCATCTTTGGAGTACCAGGAATGCAACATTTTGCCTTGTCCAGGTAAGAGTCAACTAAAATGAGAGAGGTACGTGAAAATACGTGAAAGTAAAATAACTCATCTTCAAGGCTGTATCTTGCCACAGTTGGTTTGGGGTTTTTTTCTGAGTTTGGAGGGTTTTTTTGGTTTTTAAATAAACTACATCTCAAATTTACCTTTGTAATGTAACTGGATTTGGGTGAGATTCCCAGGTGAAGTCAGTCGGTTTATCATCAGCGGTATTAACAGCTACATCTTTTTTCACTTGTGAGACTTGGAAAAATATCATTTTAATAAGTAAACTTACAAGAGAAAATAAGGAATGTGACAAGGCATGAGAAACCTGACCTAGTCCTTATTTGAAGTCAAAATATCATTCTCATCACAGTGGCTGCTGACATTAAATCAGCAGTGCTAACTTTTGAGTGTAGTGCCTCCAGCAAATGAGGTTCAGGACTGATCACCAAGCTAGATGGTATCTCAAGTAGACCATAAAGATTGTTCTTGGAATCTTGAGCTTCTCCTTCATTTAAAGTTGTTTTATGTTTCTATAAAAAACATTACAGAAAGCATATATGTTTTCAAGAAGCTACTTGGTTTATAAATCACTGTTGTATGAGATATTTGGGGGAAAAAATTGGTTTCTGTCACCTCTTACCCTTTATAAAACACATCCAAACTCAGAGGCTTTTGAGCTTTGCAGAGGCTTTGTGGAAAAAGAAAGGAGAAGGATATAGGAAAATACATGAAAGAAAGAAAGTGTAATTGGAACAGGAGGAGGGAACTCAAGGTATGAAACAATAGAGAGAAAGAAGAGTAATGACTGAGAGACTCACTTCTTTCCACTATCAACAAGTGAATTTAGAAATAAGCTTTCATACATCTTGTATTAATTATGTATAAGAGAGCTGCATATTTTTTTATTGAAGACTTGGAGCTTTTGGTATTTATTCAAGTGTGGACCTGAAGGATTACTATGACAATATGCATATTACATATGTATACTATTCTAAAACATACGTGTATGTGTATTTATCTATGTCCATATGTATCTATATGGTTACAAGTTAAAACTGTGTTCCCTAAATCATGGACTTTTTTTTTTTAATACCTCCATCAGAACCCTTCCATCAGACACTGCCTTCACCTTCCTTTAAAGCAGGCGAACGGTGTGGTAATAACTAAGAGCTCTGCTCACAAACTGATAGGAACAGTGGGAGAAATAGGAACAGAAGTCCAGGTTGGTGCAGATGCTGACCTGCCATCAGTGAAGAAAGAGTTACTGTGTCAATTATTACGGGAGCTTGACCTGTACAAATTGATGGGTCTGGATGCCTTCCACCCTAGAGTGTTGGGAGAGCTGGCTGATGTCATTGCAGTGCTGCTCTCCATAACCTTTGAGAAGCTGTGAAGATTGGGAGATGTCCCTGAAGACTGAAGGAAGGCTGATCTCACCCCCATCTTTGAGAAGGGTCCAAAGTAAGACCCAGGTAATTACACACCCATTAGCCTCACTTCAGTCCCTGGAAAAGTCATGGAGCAAATCCTCCTGGGGACTGTCACAAGTCAGTTGAAGCACATGATTGTGAAAAGCCAGTATGGATTCACCAGGGCCACATTGTTCTTGACAAACCTGATCGCTTTCTACGTCAACATAACCTGCTCAGTGGATGCAGGGTGAGCAGTGGATGTTCTCCAAAGCTTTTCATACTGTACTCCCCAGCCTCCTCCTGAAGAAACTGACTTGATACAGCTTTGTCAAGTGGTCTGTGTGCTGGATGGGGAACTGGCTGACAGACCGTACCCAGAGGGTGATAGTAAATAGGTCCTTCTCAAACTGGCAACTGGTCATAAATAGGGTCCCCCAGGGATCGATATTGGGCCCAATGCTGTGTAACATCTTCATAAGTGACCTGGATTCTGGGATCAAGAGCACCCTGATGAAGTTTGCTGATGACACCAGGGTGAGTGGAGAGGTTGACACTCCAGAGGGAAGGGCCACCCTCCAGGGTGACCTGAACAGGCTGGAAGAGTGGTCTGGCAGGAACCCTGTGAAGTTCAATGGGGAGAAGTGTAAAGTCCTGCAACTGGAAACACATAACCCAGGAGCACAGTTCAGACTGGGATCCACCTGACTGGAGAGAAGCCCTGTGGAAAGGCACCTGGGTTCTTTGTGGAGAACAGTCTCAATCTGAGTGAACAGTGTGTTGCAGCAGCAAAGAAAGCCAACAGGATGCTGGGCTGCATCAACAAGGGCATCACCAGCAGAGATAAATAAGTCATCATCCCACTGTACTCAGTGCTTCTCAGACCACACCTCGAGTATTGCATTCAGTTTTGGTCCCTGCTCTACAAAAAAGATGCAGACAGGCTGGAAGAGGGTCCAGAGAAAGGTCAAGAGAAGGATGATCAGAGGACTGGCGGACCTGCCGTATGAGGAGAGGCTAAGAAAACTGAGTTTGTTCACCCTTGAGTAAAGAAGGCTTCAGGAAGACCTTATTACAATGTTCCAGTACTTAAAGGGTGACTACCAAGAAGATGGAGACTCCCTATTTACAATGAGTCATGTGGAAAAGACAAGGGGTAATAGGCACAAATTGCTCCTGGGGAGATTCCGATTGGGCACAAGAGGTAAATTTTTCACCATGGGGACAGTAAAAAATTGGAATAGTCTCCCAAGGGAAATGGTGGATTCCCCCACCTTGGACAGTTTTAAGTCTCAACTTGACAGGGTGCTGAGCCATCTCGTATAAACTCTAGTAGTACCTAGAAAGGTTGATCCTTAAAGTTGCTTCCAACCCGGTATTCTATGATCCTATGATTGCATTGTCATGCTGTAAAATCTGAAGTGCATTTACTAAATTGTCTCAGATTATCTATAAAATGGGGCCAGATTTGTTATTCATACCTTGCTGATGATTCTTAAATCCTGTCTTGAATATTCTTGGATTTTTTCTTTTTTACAAAGTTAAAATAAGTTAGGGGTTTTCAGAAGTGGCATTTTTAATTTGTTCTGCAGCTAGTACACTGTTATATTTTTTTGAAGGAAATTGTTCAAACCAGTAAAACACAGTTATGCAGACATACATTTGATGTAGAGGCCCTTCTTGTTTATGAGTTAGACAACACCCAAAGCTAAAATACATGAAATTGTAAGGCAGAACTCGAAATTGTGCTTTATATAAAAATTATTCCATCTTTTGCTGTCTCTGAATTTTAAAGTATTTTTTAAGATCAGTTGGTATAAAGTACGGTGGACCTGTGTGAAGCAAGAAGGAGTGTTCTGATATACCTTACAACTTTCTTCAGTGACAAGTTTCATTTTTCTTTTTAGTGCAAAGTAAATTTGAACAAAGATGTAGAGCTTGGGAGAAGTGTTTAGATGTATGATAGCCTGCGAGGAATCACAGAGTTCCTCAGCTAAAGTACTACTATTTGCCAGTAGTTAAGAAGAAATCTAAGGAGCTAAGTCAGATCTCAGATAAATCTGAAGGGAAAACATTGCAAGCAGTAGATGTAATTATTTCCTTTTTTTTTTTTCTTAAAGCCATGGGAGAGCAAGAAATGACTGCAGAATAAGGCTTATCCATAAATTAGACCTGATTATAAATTTGTAGAAAGGGAATAATTCTTTTATTGGAGAGGCTTACTGCTGAAATTGAATTATCTCCATTTTTAATGAAAGTCACAGAAAGTTTAATTGGTGGGTAGACATGAACATCTATTAGGTTGACATTTATAAGACCTCATCAAGAAAGGGCAGACATTAACAATATATGGGTGAAGAGACTTTGGTCCTGGTTCCCTGCGTAAAAACCTGTCCTACCTCAGAACAGGGAGGGTAAAAGCCAGTAAAAGAAACCACAATTGGATCACTTTTCAGCCTTCTTGTAAACAACTGTGTTAGGGACCAGATTTAATTTCCTAGGCACTTAGATTTAGGACAGCTTTGTAAACTCATTCTTACCCTCGCTACTCAAGTGAGATCCTAAAATGTGCCTGTCAGGCTTTGACCACACAACCCTTGCAGGTGTTGAGAAAAGTTGGTGTAGGTTCAGATCCCATTGTGGTATTGACTATAGCCTCCTTACATGGACTAGGCTGTAGACAGTCGCAAGAGTAAACACATCAGGCCCTTCTTACCTCTGTGAGCATCGAGGATTAAAACAGAGATTCTGCATAGTTCGTTCTAGCCCATGTAAGTAAGTGAGGTGCAGACAGAAAGACTGAGGAATGTGACATTTTGGTTTGGCCTCGACCTGAAAGTAATGGCCATAGTACTAGAAATAAAAATGCAATAAGGAAGAATTTGATGCCTTCTGAGATTTACCTGAGCTCCCTCAGTGTAAGAACAGCTTCACCTGCTCCCTGCTGATACTGAACCATTTTGTTAGAGTCCAGTCCAGTCATTAACCCTTCAGTAATATTCTGGCTAATAGAAGGGGTTGAGATAGCAGCCATAAAGAAACCTTCCTCCTAGTTCAGGCTCAGGTTCTGCCTCCTGTTCACTTTGCCCCCTGTTGTGCTAATTGAAGACAGGATCAAACCCTTATGATGTAAACTGATGAAAACAATGAGTGATGGAGAAATATACTAAGTAGTACTTAAGTCATGCTGAAAGTTAATAGGACTTGTAGGCTTCTAAATCAATTAATCTGATCTCAGTGTCATCCTGGAAGATACTAAGTGCTCTGAAGAGCTGACACAATGAAAAAGGCCATGGGACAATCACCGAGTGTATGAGGCTCTCTTGCCTGGTTAAGTGTCATGCAGCATCACTTTAAATACACTTATTAAAATATTAATAGACAGTAGTATCTGGTTAAAAGTGCTGCAGGATCCCAGAACTTCAAAAAATACTGAAGTCATCTAGAACCTGCCTTCAGCAGCTACTGTTAAGTCTTCCTTGAGCCTGCAGAGAGAGAAATATTGACATTTTTCCCATAGCTTGTGGCAGAGTAAATGGTCCACTAACATGCAGAACAATAGCAGTCACTGGGCAGATTACTTTTCATCCATAGTA